GACCGATGTTGATAATATTTCCGGCAAGAATTTTCAAAAGAAGTCGATCATTTTTGTAAGTGTTTATGAACAAAATTTCGATGTATTGAATCTCCTTTCGGTCTTTTTGAAGTCGAGTTAAAGTCTTAGTTAGTCCAAGTGCATTGTGGGCTTAGACGAATCTTTTTCTTGAAGCATTTATTTTTCTTTTCTCATTTTATAATCTGAGCTAACACCATAGTAGCTCTTAAGACTCTTTTAACAATGAAAGAACATAATTGCACAATAAGCTTTCTTCGGTAAATAGTTTTCGTGCCATATACGCTTCATAAAAACCCAAATTTCACAGACAGTATACAGCTATTCAGTGAAAACACGTTGTCGGGGAGAACGACGAACGGCGATTGTCGAAGGGAAATTGCACGATCGAAAGGGACTATGGTTACTTAAAATTTCTCAAAATTTCACTTATTGCATTCGCTTTACATAGAAATGGAGCCAATTTTTACGACAGACCATCTTACAATACAAATCAGTTTTTATTGCCTTTCAAAAGCCATGGCTACTTTCGGTCGTGCAATCGCCGTTCGACCATTGACATTCGCCATTTTATCCGACAACGTTCTCATCAGTGCTTTTATAATCGATTGCATGCATAAATATAAGCCCAATTTTAAGTTATAAACTAACCCTCGGTACATCTCCAGCTAATGAGCAAAAGCTGTTTAAATACAAAAGATCCAACTTTTGATGAAAGTGTCAAATTAGCGGATGTTTTATAAAAAGGTAAGAAGATTTTTGAAGGGAACTTAACATTATCGAGGGTTACCTCTTACATATCACACACCCCACACTTGACTTAACACTTAACCGTAAGATAACACACTTGAATTATTCGAAACTACCAAGCTAACGAGTTTCTATTTATCTGTTTATCTTGAAGAACTTTTAAATCGGCTCACTGGTCAATATGTCGAAATTGTGATCTTTGGAACTGACAATCTTACCGTACAAAGCGGATGAGTTTTAAAAACCCTCTTATTTACAGAAAATATTGATCACCAGACTCAGCGCGAGACTGCCTTTGATACTTTTTATGACAAAAAGCTGCACTATAAAAATAACAGCGGCGTATCATGATAAACAATCATAATATTGCAAAAGGAACAATATTTTAGAGAGCACTGCACCATATTTGGACAAATAAAATTGAGATAAAAGATAAAAGATAAAAGTTATGAGAAACGCGAAAATAAGCATGTTTTTCCAGCTGTATACTGAGTATGACGAGTCATTTTGAGTCATTTGTGATCATCATAAGAACCTTCTTAAGGAGCCCAAAGGTTTGAAAGCTTTGTCTCAGTCCATTAAAATATCAACATATAATTACTTTTGCAACAATATATGAAAAACTTGCTGAATTCACTTAGAAAACTGTGTGTAAACCAAGTCAAAACGGCGTTCAATATTTAGGGAGAAGGAAAAGGGAAAAGGTGTTGGTTGCTAATCGTCCTTCATGGCAGCACGGTGCTGAATTGCGAAAGACTCAGCTCGACTCGCTCTCAAGTCGAAGTGCTATATTACATTTTACATACACTTATACATAGGCGTGCTGCCGGCTAGGCGCTTCCTTTACATAGCAACGTCGACTTATCGCGGAGCACAGCAGATAGAAATGGTTCGTTTTTATTCAGGGATGAAAAATCGGAAAAGACACGGAAAAACCCTCGAAGCAAGGAAGAGAACGAAAGAAACTCAAATCACATATGGCTCCCAGACCGAGATTCGAACAGATTCCACAGAAGTGACAGGCAAGCGCTCTCACCGCTCGATCGGCCACCTTTGCTTCCATCCTTGCTTGCGGCCACCCTTGCTTTACAAACTTTGCTATTTCATGGTTTTGAAGTTGTTCAAGAGTTCATATCCGCGAAACTGCAATTTCCATTAAGAGTGTTCTTTTGCTTCTTATCGTATAAACAAGAAGAGTTATGTAAAATCGATCTATATACACCATGGGTCATAGATAAAATATTCAAGATAGTGGCACATTTTCGTTAAAAGCATTTCTGCTTGTTTTAGTAAAAATCTATTGCTTTAATCAAAAAAGAGTCATTTTTTAATGGCGAAGTGACATTAAGTCGTCAATTAAATCCAGTTACTCTAGAAATATGTTTTTTGCCCCATACGGTTTTGAAGTCGTTAATGTGATCAGTTCATGATATTGCTGGTATCGTTTGACAGATATCAAACCAAGCACTAAATTCTGTAAAAAAAAAACAGCATAGCCGATAAAAAAACCTCTCATTTACTCCCATAATCAAGTGTTGTGGTAAGTGAGGCCATTTTATCGTGAAATTCTCTCAACTGGTAAGAATACCCCCATCGAAGCGAAGCTAATGTTTAATCAAAAAATTATAGTTTTTGCGACTGACGCGGGGCTTTCGTCGAATTGCGACATTTATTCCGGAATTAAAAGAAAAGAACAAAATTTTTGACACAAACTTCTGCCAATGCATGGACATGGGGACAGTGAAATCTCTGGAAGTACTTCTGTTTTTTTTTTCTCTGCCTTTCCTTAGTTTTTGTAGATTTTATGAGCTGAACTACGCTTTAGGAATTGCCTTGTGACGTCTCACAAACGTACTATATATTACTTAGTATTTATACTTTCCAAGGTAGTTAAGTTATTTCATTTTTTTATCTCTATGACAAGATGAATTTATGCTAAGTAAGGCTAAGGGCAACAAACAAACAAAGATATACCAATAAATACTGATTTGATCCAAGGAGGATACAATTAAGAGCCCCCAACTCATTTACATGCGACAGAATACTTGGTTTATTTCTCATCTTTTAAATGTATTTTATGAAAATTCATAGCGGAGCTCCTGCGCGGGCCGAAGGCCCGCGCGAGCGGAGCACCATAGCTAAGAAAAAATGGTATACCATCGAGTCAATTTTCCATGGACCGACACAGGGTTCCCGCGCGTACGCACGTTTCCTTCCGTCTGTCCTGGATTCCGTGTACCACCACAGGAAACCCATACTCCGCTCGAAAAGGAAACAAAGCGCCAAGTATTTGTTGAAAAATCGAAATTTTTTCCTTAAACATTTATATTACATATTGATAATATCAGAACAATTAATAACAAGGAAACAATCCATTGAAGAGCGAAATAACAGCACAGAAATATTCCCGCCAATTTTGTCATAACTTCGACGCGTCCGCACATCCGGGAAATCGATTTGCGAAGATGAAAAGCAATTTAGGCCCATTTTAAAAGTGATATTAGAAAAAAGGATTTTACTTTGATATTTCGACAACAAAAAGAGATGATACTTTATTGGAAATACTTCAATAATATGGACCAATATGGGAAAAAGCAGGGATCTATGCGAAGTTCTTTTGTCGACTAAAAGTGTGGACATTTCGAAACCAAAACCATGCTAGCAGTTAGATTGAGAGAGATTAAAACAAAGAATCTACAGTCTTGAATGACTTAATAAATTGATGAAGTATGGCTCTGTTGAAGATGATCTTTGAACGATAATTTATCGGAAGTTCGATAATGAAGGTAAAAAATATATTTTTGCATACTGTTTTCTGTATGTTGATTATTGTAAGCTTATGTAGATTACTTTTTGCCGAGAAGCTTTCAGTTTACTTTTAATTATAATTTTAAACTTCATCCAAAGGAACAAAATCTACCGAAGTCAATATAATAGTACGAACTAAATTCTCATAAACATACTCTTTATAATATTTGTTCGCATGTCAACAAAACTGTCATAGCTCACATTCCCTAGAACAGAGCATCTACCTTTGAAATAGCAGTACTAGATAATCATTTTCAGCTTCTATATTGCTATTGGAGCTCCGCTATTAGGTGTTACCTAATTTTTATATTAATTTCTTCTTTTATATGATGGCACCTGTTTTTATCTTTCCATCTGCTTACCATAAAAACACGTCTTTTAGCCACATACGGCAAATTCTACATATGAAAAAGATTCCGCAACAGATGGGAAAGTAAGGTCCTACAGTAAATGACAGCTCAAGATTGCCAAATAACAACAACAACAGCAAGGATAACAGAATCTAAAGATCTAAGAGCAGGGTAAAGATCTAAAAAGGTAAAACCTAACTTCCTGTAAAGGTAAATAGCTGGTTCACTATTAAAAAGCGGCACGATGCTGGCGCGACTACAAGTTTCAAACATCAACATTTCTTTTTTTTATCGGCGGTAACTGTCTCACGAATCGAATTATTCCATTCAAATGAGACAATAACCTGATACGGCGAGTTAGTGAGAAAGATATATAAGAAAGTATAAGTACAATAAGTTTGCATTGAATTCCATACGGTACATCTGTGATATTTGAGGCTAAACCATGAGAGAAAAGACCGATAAAAGATCTGAAAGTGAAGTGGAAAGCCTAGTGGAGGTCAAAGTCGAAATCCACAACTCGAAAACGAGCTCAAAGTTTTGTTAGTCGGAATATTGACCATTTTGAATGTTTTTTAGATATAGATTTTTATTTTCAGACTATACGCGCCTGAAAATTGCATCCGATTCAATGAATGACGTCACGACGAACGGAATAGAGGAATATGTTAATGTACTATATCACTTAAGAAGATTATTGCTTATTTTACCTTTGCAGAATGTTTTTTTTTTACTATAACGTAAAATACTGATAGCTAGGCGAGTGAACGTGATAGATTATCAATCGAGTCGTTATTGAAACGTAAAAACAATATTAATGAAACGCCGATATCACGACTCATAGAAAAAAACATTAAAAATATACAGTACTGATAGAGACACAAGATATTAAAAAAAAGGAGAATAATAAATGTAGAATTTAAGATTCAATTGAAAAGGTTGGGAGGGCTATATAATACCTTCCTGTTTACCATCAGCCCCCCAGATCAATCTCATTTATCATTTCATTAATTTATCAGTCTTTCATTTGCTGTTGTTAGTTTTTGATGGAATCAAGCAGATGTTTCGATGATCGATCTGCGCATGATAAATTGTCTAAAAAACATTTATCACTTGTTTTCCCTCACAGTCTTGTCGTTCTCACGATGCCATTCAGTCGGACATGCAAAGCATTCGTAAAGTGTCCTGGTGCGCGTGTTTATTATAGTTCAAATAAGGTGGATTTATATCTCTTCCCTGTTGGCCTATCTTTCCGGTTAAAGCAGAGCTTTTCAAAACAGAAAATATTGCAGGTACAAGTGATTTCGTAGCGTTATTGTAAGGTTTTCAAATCCGTGGAGGACGGAGAACTGGTGAAAATTCTACAAAAACGCATCAACGTGGACGAGACTGCAGCGCGCGACATTTTTGTAATGTGCTCTCTTTCCTCAATGGAATATCAAAAACACTAGACCAAGCCCTATCATATTTATTTGTTCTCTTTTTAATGCTATTTACCAGTAATATAAGAGTAGTTAAGGCTCTTTGAATTATAGCTTATGCTAAAAAACATATTGTACTTTGGTGGCGGCCGCAGTGCTGTACTTTGCATAAGCATACATCCAAACCTAATCCAACTTAATCGTGTCGTTGCGTAAACGACGAGTTTCCGTGACCGAGTCTTGCCGTGATCCGTGCCATATTGTAAAACGAAACTATGGCTCTATCGCGATATTTTTATTCCATCTACAATTACTGTGCATACTTTAAGAGATTTGTGGGAACTCCTTTCATGTTCACACGCAATCTTCTCCTTATTTTTCTTCCCATTATCTTCAACTAAATGTTGATACAGATCTATAATATCTAAAGATATTCATTGCTCTAGTTACATTATCATTCTTCTCTGGATTCCATTAATTTGCCTAACCATCCACCAAATCATTTACTCATCCAGTCTGTCATTATCAATTTTTTTAAATGCGAGCAAAAAATCGAAATAATATGGAATTATCCACAAGTGCGTACTCGTTGACGGAAATGCGTTTTCCGTCTCAAATCAGAACATATTTTAAGTCCATTAGGCTGACGGCTAATCGAATTTCCACGATTCGTGATATATTTTGTTCGCGTTTTCGTTTTCAAACTGTTCAAGCTCTGGTTATTCTGTAAAACAATTCAAACAATTAATAATAAAAGCTAGACAATTTACTTCAAATTATCGTATAGGGGTGTTTTTTGCCGAATAAGCGCTTTTACTCGACCAAAGTGAAGGGTGAAACCAGGCTATACAGCTTCCTTTTTTGTGTAAATAGACATAGAGAACTGATATTGCAGGTGTACTTTAGAATCAAACTGATATATTGCGGCCATGCCACGCTATTTGTTTTCGTTCTTGTAGTAACTTATACTGGGCGCTCTTTGGCAGTAGGCAACTGTGCCAAACGACTTTTACGACACGACAGGGACCCACACCACAACCTTGATCGTTTGTTTCCGGCAGGGTCGCGCTAGTCAGCAAAAACAACACACACACACACCAAAAAAAAAAAAAAAAGGCACACACAAAACGTTGCAAAAATAAAAAATAAAAAAATAAATAAAAAAATCGTTTCCGCAGTGAGAGTTTTAACATTTTTGATTCGTAATTTCCTTATATCCTTTTTTTTACTGTAAACAGCGGAAAATAGCTATGTATTATTCATCAATCATCACGCAATTGTGTATTTTTAATTATAACTCCGCGTACTAATCCAGTCTGCGTCAGCGATGGGATTTTATTAATAGACGGACTACCTATTTACCTATGTTTTTATCTCCTTACTTATCTCTCTACTTCCCTATCTCTAGTATACAACAAGAGTTAGAAATCTACTGACAATATTGAAACTGACAGTTTCTCGTAAATAGTACGTGCTTTTTCCTGCTTCCACTTTTGTTCGATCTTGCCAACAGCACTTTTTATTATCTGTAGCTTCCTGTCAGTTCTTTAACATCTGATAATGAAGCAGTAAAATAGGGGATTTGGGCATAAAGATTCAAGAGTTACCATAATGCCAGATTTCTCCATTAATGGAGGTAAAATGGTTTGTTTGTTCAGACAACCAATTATTTTTTGGTTATACGAATAACACAGTGTTACCTAGTATTTAATAATTTCATCAATTTAGAAATGAAGCAATACCAATTTCCATTTTAGACGTTAACTGTGAAATCTATTCTATCACGTTTAACAATTTTAGCTCAATGTGGTGCTGCTTTACGGCTATTTTTATCAATGATCTGTCAAACTATAACTCATGATGAAAATTGAAAGGCGGAACTTTTTCAAATGCTCTCGGTGATTGGCCAATTACATGACTGACAGGTAGATTGAACATCTAATAACTTTATGTCTCGATGCGTTTCTTCAGTTCAAAGCTGCACTGCCAAACGGAGGAGTTGAAGACAGCAAAAAGCACTGATACTACTTAAACTTCATAATCCGGCGTAAAAAACAAAACTGGTCAGCCGTTTTCATGATTGGGTTTCTGGTATGTTTTGTTTCAAAACGAAATGAGTGCTAGTTAGATAGACAGTTTGTGTTCACTCGAAAAATCGCTAGCGACGTAAGCTTTTAAAAGCGCAAGCATTTAACGTATACGTAGCCACTCCACTTCTATGGTACGTCTTCCTGTATTTTTGCATTATGCTTGTGCAATTCAGTCAGGATGAGCCGACATGGTCTGTTCTTCTAAATAACTGTTCTGGTACGATTTTTTTCCTGGGAAAGGGATTTTGAGGTACATTGTTGACAATCTCACAAGCAAATGTGCCGCCCTTCCTTCTTTAAAATAATTTTGTTCTTGGCAAACGTTTTTTTTAATTTCAAATTTTAATTTTTTTAATTTTAATTTCAAAATTTTAAGGTCAAAAACTGCTTATATTTTTTTTAGTTGAGAAATTTTTTCTTTTCCTGGCAAAAATTCTTAGACAGTATTCCCTGATTTGAGAGTTCGTTTTTCCTGAATTTCTCGCTGGCAACCAGTTGTGTCTTACAGCTGGCTGGGACATAAGAACAGATATATTTCTCCCAGGAACCCGTCGTCTCCTACTAATTCAGTCTCCTCTATGATTATGTTTTCTGCTTTCTAGTGTCGTTATCCTGTGTCATACATTTGTGTTGATTATTTGAGTTATGCTCAAGCCCAAGCATGAATTGCGCCTTTACTGTGTGCCCTGTTTGCGTTTTTTGTTGGAAATTCAATCCTTGTGATTGTTTTTTATGGAGTAGTACACCTGGTTTGTTATTTTTTGTGTGATGTTCTATGTAAATATTCATTCGTCGGCATAGGCATGGTGATACTAGGTTTACCGAAACATTTTGTGTTGCCAGTTCCGTGAGTAGAATTTCAATGCATACACAGGGCTTTAGATGAAATAAAAGTGTTTTAAGTACTGTTATTTACATCACAAAGGAAATTATCTACACCTCGTAAAAGACGGATCTTGTCCTCTTAGTGAAGATGCCGGCTTTTCAGTGAAGTGCACGCTGTTTTCTGAGTGCTTACTGAGTGTAAATTACAGTGCTTTTTGCACTGATCAGTATATATCAACTTCCATGAGCTTGCACTATACTATTACTTATAACTATATACAAACATACAAATTAGCTTATCACAAGAGAATGACATTAAAAACACTGGAAAAACGCAAAATAGAAATAAATGGGAGGTGCCTAATTAGTGCTCTGTCTCATCTTGAAAAAAGTACTAGAAAGCTTGCTTATTATTTAKTGATCATATTAAGTATTTATATATTTTTCTCTTTCCGTATAAATTTGAAATTTGAACTTGAACTGTTGTTCACGACTCAAGACTTGCAATATTCTTTGTAAACAAAATATCAAGAGGGTTAATCAACAAAATGGACGACATTTTGCCTTCTTTCTTGTTTTTCTTTTTAATGCAAGGGTTAAACGCCGAACTTACAAAATTCGTTGAGCTTAATTCTGTCATTTCACAATTCTTATTATAATCAATTACTGCTGACATAATAAATGCTAAAATATTTATGTGTGTGTTTTTCAAAGAAAAAAAGTATCAGCTTTGAATTAAGGAAAATTGGAAAGTATCAAAACTTGTAATTAAGCAGCAGAGAATTATGCACTAATATGCTCTTAATTCTGAGAAATTATGAAAACGTTTTTCGCACACGTTGAAACAATAGAAGCTTGGATTTGACACGGTAGAAAAATAAATTAGGTTCGGCGTTGTTCTGTACAGAACATTTGTATTAATAATATGTTTGTCGGGCCCGCATTTCTTTTTTCTTATTTATACAATATTCAATACTTTTACTCTAAGTGTTATAAAGCTCATGGTCACATTTTTTGGGTCTGAGAGTCTTTATCTTGTAATGTCTCATGTTCTGAACTGACTTAAAACCTCCCTGTAAGTGTTATTTTTGACGTTATCACTGGATATATAGCCAAGGGTAACTTGTTATCTTATAGTCATGGAATCGTGCCTGTTGCATGGCATAATGTCACCAATTAGGATAAGTTCTCCCACATTGCACAGAGGTATAGCCGAATTAACTAGTCCACACGACATTACTGCCAATCTCGATAACAAGCTGTATTCTGTTTTTTTTTTTTTTCAATCGTTTCCTTGTCTAGCTATTGTGTTTTTTTAATGTGAAATACAGTAAAACTCCGCTTATCATAAGAACCCGATATTTAAGTGCTCGCTATCATACGAATAGCAATTCCCAAGTTGAAATTTCATTATAGGATCTTAATTTCTAAGTCAATCGAAAGCTACATTATTTTTCCCAATCAACGACACACCTGTTTTTTTAGTTTTTCCTAATAAGTTTCAGATAGAAAATTTGTCACTTTTTTCTTGTCTGATTGACATGTCTTTTTTGACAGGCAGTGATACCCAGTTTCAGTTGCTACGGCAACATAAAATTTCTGAAATTTCTGTCATGCAGTTTAAATAAAATGTTTACCGCTTCCGATGAACTGGAGAGCTGAGCTTCACAGTAAAAGTTTCCGCCATGTACAGTTAATGAGATTGTGATAAGAGTCATTCATAAGAGATTTTTGAGAATTAAAAACACTGAAAAAAACACTTCTATTTTGGCGTCGTACTTAAACAGTGAGAGCATTTTAGTGTTGTGCAAATTGACGAACTTTATCGATCACGTTCGTGTTTCTATGTCTAAAGGAACAGCAGAATGGACTTTCCATGTTTTGTAAACATCATGGGTTGTTTCTGTAAGTCTGATATATATTTTCAACAGCTTGGTCCGCTCCAATAATGACAAGTCTTTGGCAAGCTTACTCTCTTGAATTCGTAGCTTTGCAGTCATCGTGATTCGCAAATACAGTGCAGAAATTTCCTAAATTCCTCAATTTTTAATACGCATTAATACAAAACTATTATATTTCTTAGCCAATCGTGTTTAAAGGGACACTGTCAATGGATGACATGCGCAGTAACAGTCTCACCTCTAACGGACTTTGAAAGTATTACCTTCGAGGTAAATCATTTTATGGTGCTTTTGACACACTTTGGAATATTCTAGATCTGTTTGTTTACGTTTACGAGCTGATTTATGTCGCGTCAACTTCTGGGTGATTTGAGAAAATGCGACTAGCCAATCAGCGCAAAGCTGACAAGCTTATGTTGTAAACATAACCCTCCGACGGGAGGAATTTGCACAGCAAAACTCGACCCAGTGGAGTAGGCTGCCTGTCATTTTATTCTATCCGAAAAATCGAAGCTAAAACGCAAAGAGAAATTGAAAATCTTTATAAAATAGCTTTTAAATGTCAATCAAATATTTATCGTTATAGAAAGAGAATTTTATCTTAAAAATGAAAAAAACAAATAACTTTTTCTTTAATACCACGAGACTCCCCTCCCTGATAGAAATAATTGTTCTGTGTTCTACGCGGGTTCTCCATTGCATGCGAAGCAATGACCGACTTCACGAAGACTTCAGAAGGTCGTTGAAGCGACGTTCAAGTCCAATGTATCTTAGGAGGAACCATTGCAAATCATTTTTCTTAGCTCTTGTTTCCTCTAAGATTTGAGGTATCTACAACATCACTGGAAGAGCTAGAGCAGCTTAGGTCCACGTATTCCAATAGAGTTAAAGCGCTTGTTATTTTTGGTACAAACAACGGTCGTAGTTCATTCTTTGTCGCATTTTCGGCAATAAGCCGCAAGCGGGCTCGACGATTTGACGTTATGTAACAGGCCAGTTACACATTTACTAGCTCTGACCTTACAACGAGAGCTAGAACGGTGACTGGGGTTTTTCGTGTAATGTCTTGATAGCGACTGTTTATGTCGAAACGACTCAAAACAAAATTCCATCGTGAAAAAAGTTCGACTAAATTCCCTTCTGAAAAACACGTGTGCATTTAAGGTGGAAAATGTTTCATATGAGCATTCAATTCTTAAAAGTTTAATTCTATAATCATTTTGCTTAGTTATGTAAATAAATTTAACACGACTTGTACTGTTTGTCTGAGTGAAAGGCGAGATGCGGGTTTTCCCTTTTCTTTATTTACACTTTCAAATATGACCGCTTAACAAAAATGCACGGGCTCACTGGCTTACAACCTTGGCGAATTCATATGCAGGCCTGGTCGCAAATCAATCACCCAGTTGGAGTCATAAACTTGAAAACACTAGCCTAATGTTTTCAAGTTTACTCGCGCATGCGTGCCATTGACAGTGTCCCTTTAAGCATAGCCTGTCAATCAGATGGGAAAGCTATAGCAATTATCACTATCACTTAAAACGCGCACATTCTATAAATTAGACCACTTTACTGTACTAGAGTCGAGTTTGAGACTAAGAGGAAAGAAAGAAGGCCAATTAAACAGTTTAAGAAGAAAATCCTTTTATATATACATCAAGCCTACATTTTAATCTCATTCTTTTTTTATAACACAGAATTCAAGATGAGTTATTACAATAACAGCTCAAATATCACAGCAATTACTCCACCTGCGTGTTCAGCGAAAGAATATGATGCCTCGCAAGTTAAAGCTTTGAAGACCATTCTTTACAGTATCGTGATGGTAGTCGCATGCTTGGGCAATTTATTCATCATCAGTGTTGTATACAGAAATAAGAAGATGAGAAAAACTRCCAACATTTTCATTGCCAATATGGCCACCTCAGACATGTTTATAGCAGTTGTCACCATACCAAGACTAATTACCGAACTTTATATCGGGGAATTTCGCTGGTTAATCCATGGAACACTAGGACTCATTACATGCAAGCTTGCCCATGTTTTTGGGGATCTCTCTTTCTGTATTTCGATCTTAAGTCATACTGTCATCGCTATTGATCGCTACTATGCTATTGTACATGCCCTTAGACCTTCTCCTATCACTGCATCACGTCGAAAATACATCATTGCACTGATATGGCTATTCAGCGTCGCTCTTATTTGTCCAGCCGCACATTACATAAGACTTGCCAATAGAGATGATAAAACATACTGTATATTGAATTGGGATCCCTTACCTGCGACTTCACAAAAAATTTACTTTACCATCGCTATATTCGCTATCACATTCTGCATTCCCACTTTTATACTAATCAGCCTTTATACAAGATTAATTCAGTCTACTCTTGGTAAAAGGGATGTATCTTTGCTGACATCTCAAGTTCGACAACGTCAGAAAGAGGACATTATTGTTTTGCGCAAGGTTGGAGTATTGGTAGTTCTCTTCTTCTTCAGTGTGACTCCATTTATCAGCCTATGTATGGTAACTCTTTGGCTGTGGAATGGCAGTGTACCATGCTCAAAGACTGTCTGGAAGATTTCCTTTGCCATCTTCTTCCTTTTAGTGTCGAACAGTGCAACTAATCCTATCGTCTGTATCATATTAAACAAAAGGTATCGTCGCCATGTTCACAAAATTATCCCGAATTTTTTGAAATGGAGAATGTCAAAGATGAAATTACCATCATTTTCGACGTCATCTGAAAAACTGGGAAAAACTTGCAACGGAGAGGAACAAAATATTTGCCTTACGAATGATATAACTGCTTTTAATCTAGTAGAGAATAGACCTCAAACCTAAACAAACTAGAATTTTCACACTCTGCATAGATTATCAGAGCTAAAATTCTAGATTTTGCTTAAAAACAACAATGTCTTATTATCATGATGAACGCAAGCCATTCAAAAAAACTGTCTAGTCTTTCAAAGAAAAGTCAAGGGATAGGAAGCCCGACAAAAGGGGAGGCTGCGAAGGAGACTAAGAAAAGTTCTGTCCATGAAAACCGGCTGAAATTGGTCGAGTATTATTAAGCGCTGCTAACATGTGATATAAGATCTAAGGCTCCTTGCTTTAGATGCCCTTGAGAATGACTTATGATTAAAAATTGGCCTGGGACATAACGTGTAATGTCAGCGATGACATACCATTTACTATAATTTTCGCAAACTTAAATATGCTCAAGCTCATGAGCACTTTGGTGATATACTAGTGTACAGATATTTAAAAAAATGATATATTCTATCTATGTAGTAGGTTAACATCAAGCTTGAGGACTGATGTAAGTGTATTAAATAAGTATATATGCACTACACAGTTATCTTAGAAATCGTTGAATACTAAATGCGGGATAGTGCATTTCAAGACCAAAATGGTTTGTTGAGCTTAAAACCCACCATGCTTTGAGGTCTTGGAAAGCAGTGCAGGATCATAGTATTCAGTTTTTACAATTTTCTGTTGAAATAGCTGTGTAGCTGTCATGAGGTCCAGTGATAGCAATATATGCTGAGAAATTACAGTATTTAGTGACAATTTATTGGCTATTTGGCTCGTACTATCATCTACGCTTTTATTGCCGTTTGTACTCTTATTTATGAATAATGAATTGTACTACCTAAAAATTCTCTGTACTCTTAATTAAATTTTTGTAGTTTCAACTAGAATTGACTGAGAAGATGTACATGCAAAACGGTACTATAACTGATATGTACTGAAAACTGTAAAAATTTTTAAGAAACGTATGTGATTAGTTGTTTGCATGAGACTAACTAATATGATAAAGTATATAATCATAAATAAACTTACCATAAATTGTATAGGGTAATAGTAAATGGGCGAGGTGTTTGATATACAACTTTCCTTATGACGTCAATAGTTACAATCAGACACCCCATACAGCTGTTGCCATGCTCGAACATTTTTTTTTTTTGTTTTCATTTTGACTTTCTCTTGAAAAGTCCTACAACAACAGCAACAACAACAAAACATACAAGAGAGATTGGTGGGGCTGGGGTGTGTTCTACCGTTCTACCGTTACCAATTTTTAAGCTCAAAATTATGGGAATATAAATTATGGCATTAATAGATAAAAGAAGATATAAATCTTAATTGTATATATACCCATTCGTCTGAATACAAAAAAAAAATCATTCCGAAGATCTAATCTATTCATTTTTTTTTAACCGAGTTAGCCACACCCCTTTGTAAGATTCTAGATTGCCAACAGCAACATGTAAAGTCGAAATAAAGTCCTCGAATAATTGTTATGATTGAAAAGGTTTAAACGAATTGAGTACATTTATACTTTCAGTATATAAACTGTAAAAACCAGGATAAAACCTGAATATTACTGTTATTGACGAAAAAAATTGCATTGGGATAACATTGTTGTCTTAATCTCTCTTCTTTATATATATGCGTCCTCTTGTAATTAATTCTTGTAACGGCTTGAGTGGCAGGAACTGCAGGTCCTTAGTCCCCAGCCCCAATCTCGAGAGCAGTCGTCATGGCTAACACATTGACTTCCGCTGGATGGCAAAAGTGCGGGCTCTGGGTACGAAGAATCCTCTTCTCACACAGGAAACTCAAGAACACACACATAGAGATAGCAATAACAATCCTTATAAATTGAAACTTGATCACCAAAATCAAAAGACAATTTGTGACTCTTTTTTATCAGAAAAGCGAAATAAGCAAAAAAGAGAGATAAAAGAGAGAGAGAGAAAAAAAAAAGAAACAATAAAAATAGGCAGTCGAGGACTGCATGTAACTTAGGCCATTAAGAGATTTAGTAAACTTCGAATACACTATCTTCAGTATACAACGTTTTCTGAATTATCTGTATACGCTGTGCAAGGAACTGAAAGCATCACATGGCGATCAACTGTTACGTTGCTTATGAATACACAACAGGCGGCGATTCCCAGGGGCCAAAGAACCAGTCCTATTGTGATGATTGATCATTCCTCCGTGGCCGGCATGTACCGTAAACATATCCATTCGGAAAAGGGATTTTTACATCCACGGCATGGAGCGGCCCTTAGAGCTTTTTAGCTGTAATCAATTAAGACATCTTTTTGTTGATAAAATGTTTTTATTATGTTTTATTAAAATTACTATCATTCGCCCGATTATAGTTTTGCTATAAAACCGAAAGCTTGCTAAGTTTTCCTTGATTCCTTTATAAATTTTATACGGATTATCATTCATCCTCTTCAATTGTTAACATTCACTATATTTATAATCAATAAAGTGTAACTACTTTTATATCATCAAGAACGAAAATGTGGAACGTTCTAGAGGTCTTTAATTGCAGAATTGTGTTCCGTTGAATTCCAGCAAATTGATCTGCCTGGTTTTGCCACTTGAGTTAAGAATTTCAAGAGATTTGAGTGCCGTGGTGTTTATCCGAATACTAATAATGTCTATCTGATATAAGAACTGTACACTTAATTTTACTATGATTTGGTATAACGGCAATTGAACAGCTCGGTAAAAGCCGTTACAGTACATCGAGTACATCGGTATTTGGCCGCAAACCAGCACTCAGCACCCATCCCTACCCCCCATCAAATAATAAATTCACTGTAGAATGATTATGCAAAGCCTGTTTCGTTTGCTAATTCCCGAGCTGAGCTCTCATTGGCTCGCTGATCCCTAAGGATTTTGGTGACGTCATATATTAGCATAGAACTTCACCGAATAGACTACCCCCATTAGATATCAGATATCTATAAGTGTCTTCATAGTACGATGGTCTAAGAGGGTAGCTAGAGGTATGCTCTAGTGGGCGGCTACCCCCTCACTCCCTGGCCTTTTGGTTAAGACTAAGTTTTATGTTCACTTGGGATAGCGTGGAAGAGCCGAAATCTCTAACCGTAACGTAAGCCGATTCGACGCCTCAGCTTCATAGAATGTCTMGGGGGAATCGTCCCATCTTTTTAGTTTTTTTATTTTCATTATTTCTTATGTGTTCAGGGGGGGTAAATCTTCTCCTGAAGTGAAAGTTGTGAGTTCGAGCCCTACTTCAGGGATTTCCCTTTTTTTCGCTTCTTTATTGTTTCTTTTTCGTTTGTTTCTTGTTCTCTTTTCTTCTTTCTTTTTTTTCTTTTCTGCTTTTTCTTTGCTGTTGCTACTTCGTTTGTTTTTCTCAAGAGATTTTCTCTTTAACTTAAATATCGACGGCTCGCAAGGAACGCCTGCTACAAGTTGATTATTACGTTTCGGTCAGTCAACACGATGACATAATGACGAGATGCCCCATAAGGCCTTTCGTCACAAAAATTAGTAAATTATCGTATTTACTCGAATAGACGCCGCGGCATTTCATTTGTCACGATTCGGCTGCGGCGTTTATTCGAGGGCGGCGTTTATTAAAAAACAACAACACTTTATTCAGTACTACTCAATATATAATAAATGTCGAGCTCATTTTTTTTATTCAATTATGATTTTAACCTTGAGTTAAACTTCTATTTAAACATCACGGTCCTCCTCGTGGTCGGAATCTAACAGCTGCTGAGTGATAAAGGAAAATCACTTCGAAATAAAAAATGTTGTTAACTAGAAGAAAATAAATTCTCACTGTTGGATTAAACTTGAAATAGAGTTTTCTTTATTATCATTACAAATTATTTCCTAAAGAGACACCGTACCCAGATGCGGCGTCTATTCGGGGACGGCGCCTATTAATGTTTTGAGTTTTAAGTGCGGCGTTTATTCGAGGGCGCGCGGCCTCTATTCGGGGGCGGCTTCCATTCGAGTAAATATGGTAAATGCTAGGCTCGATCAATGGCCTGCCGGCTAATATACGATGCAGAGAGCAAACGTAGCGTCAATTTTTTTTAACATTATGAAAAAAAATGAACGGTGTCAAAATACCCAATAACACTGAAAAGAAAAATGTAGAAAAGGAAAAAAATGGCACGCAAAAGGTGACTTTGAGCTCAGTAATTGCTAATCGTTCCAGGACATTTACTCCCATTTATATCATAGTATATATTACACAGAAGAAACTACTCAAGCAGGCTAATGGATTAACACATTTATTTCACAATACCAATACTAACAACTTCATCAAAGAAGACCAAGTCTTATATCAACTTTTATACCTTTTAGATAAGTACAAATAAATATTCTTGAAAGATTACACTAATTTAGTCAAATTTGCAGCTTCTTCTTTCACATAAAGTGTATCACAAGATGTGCATATCTCTTAATAAAATATCATTACTGTATAAACAACACATTTACCATAGGCATTTAGAATTATTGTATATTACATAAGAATCTATAACATTTCCAGTTAAATAGAGGATATTACATGGGCGCGCGGAGATAATGATTTTATCTTCGAGTGTTGAAGAGATTTTCAACACGAGAAGATAAAATTCGTATCTCCAAGCGACCATGTAATATTCTGTTTATCATATAATTACATTTGAAAGCAAATTATGCCGTAAAATACCTTTTTTCTTAACTCCACTATATAGAGAAACCCTGAATGTGTTATTTTCACTAGTGAAAAGTGAAAATATCAATTTTACGAAATGGAGAAATATAGGTATTTCATAGATAATTATATGATAAAACTTACTATTATACATCGCATTGCATCACTGTTCTTGCTTAAATTGGGCAATAGAACCAACTAATATTACTTCTAAAAATAAGGCCCCTGAAAATCAGTGAATAGTAACCTGGAGCCATTGATTCCTCCTTTCTTGCTTACAGTAAACAGCTAACAATCATATGGGTAGCCTGCTCTTCAGCCATCTCTCTCCCTTCCCACTCGGATACCAGAGGGATCCCAAAAGGGCAATATGAAGATTTGTCTGATGAGCATAGCAAAAGGGATATTGGAATTCACTGATCGGTTGGTTATATGCCCAATGATTGCATCAGTTCTTTACCATTAACATTTAAAACTCAATATAGAGAGCTAAAAGTCTTAATTTATAACTTCTTTGCCAAAAGTTTTGTTATCATGCAAACAAATATATGCAAATTGCATTATGCAATCCAGGAAAAATCAATTGTTATTAATAGTCTTTGAGATATTCAAAGATTGACCATCATTGCTTTTGTTTATATACACTTCTGAAGTACACACTGTCCCATTCCAGTTAATTCCACTCCAGTTAATTTGGTAAGAGTTGGAATTTTTGATTTTAAAGGTTTGAATGAAAGAACTGTTCCTGTCAAAGAAACATCACAGCTCTGTGATTTACAACCTTTATGGTCATCAAAAGATAACTTGCACTTGAATTCCACATATGCTGTTACGGTGGTACCACGTTCGTCAACATGAGATGAAAGAAGTAGCTGTTTCTTGTTCACATGTGTCATGACAGCTCCACCAATAACAGCATTCCTACTATCTAAAATATCAAAATGCTCTCCCTCAGAAATACACTCAATGGAGAATGCGTAGCCACCGTCAGGATTACTATCAGACCAGAAGAAATTCTCGTTGGAAAGGATATCTTCGTCTTCAAATGTTAGCCTTTTGCCATAGCCCGGTCCAATGCGAGCTAGTCGCAGAGCCTTGCCATCGAAAAGGAATTCATCTTCTTTTCTACCACAAACCCGAACACGGTAGCGAAACCCAGGGAGCACTTTTGAATCAGCATAAGTTCCAATTACTGGTAATTCATGCTCTTGAAGGTCGTTCATGGTATATTCCGTAGGAATATCGCCTATATCTTTTCCCCAAACTTGACGACCTGTAGCCATGTTGTCAAGCTTGAGATCAAGATGTTCTTCTTGGGAAGGTAAAGTTTGAGGTCCTGTGTTATACCTAGCCCGTCTTTGCCTCCACCAGGATCGCCATAAAGCATTCTGAAGTCTTCTTTCGTTAACAGCTTCGTGTCCTTTGCTGTCTTTGACTCCCACATCCACATACGTGCCGTTCGGCGAGCCTTCGAGATGAGATCGAATCTGCTTGAGATAGTCTTCGTTGATGGGAATGTTTAGACTTTCAGCAAACTCTAAGAATTTTGTAAACTCAATAGACGTTGAATCGTCCTCAAAGAGCTGTGATTCACTCATTTTTCCGCTGTTTTTGAAGCTATTACACAAGAGGTCTAACTACAACAACTTCACGCGCTTCTCTGTGTATGTTTACTACTGCATGTGTGGACTTTGACCCTTATCAATGCGCTGCTCTCATTGGCTAAAACCCAGACACTTGTCATGTGCCATTTGGAAAACGTACACGTGGGATCGGACCTAACAAACTGGTTTTGGGTCTAAAGTTCTTCCAAGGGTCCGTCTGTCCGTCCGTCCTTTAGACCGATGCTAAGGCTCTGAGGGCATAGCGTCTTTAAAAACGCAAATCAATACGCGACATATGCGAGAACTGTATTTACTGAAACTTTGCTGTCGTGTTATTTTTATGTGGCAAATGGAAATTGTCGCCCGACCGGCCATGTGTACCTATGTTTTCTGTTCATGACAAATATTTGTCGACCATCATCTACATGATAAATTGTCACATACCAGTTTTCACATCAAAAATGCTCGTGAACACGCTGGGAAGGGACTAGTCCACCCTTCCTGTTCCTAGCTATAACCCCTTTCCGCCCTCCCTACTCTAAATGCGGGAAGATAAAAAGGATCACTGCTCCTGGGATCACATATTTCTGCTCATGAAATGTATAGAGGATATACATAATATTCTTTACAAATTTCAATGTTTTGACGACTAACAAATTCTTCAAATTCGAGTGTCCACAGCTGTTGGCATCGATTTCAAATTATTGCTGTAGGCGATCTGTAAACGTGCAGGTTTACTGCAGGTACCGAAGACACTGGTGAAAAACGCACTGCGCATGCCCACAGCTTTCCCGCCAGTGGGCGCTCGCGTCTTGAAATCTGTAAACTAAAACAGAGCGCCTGAGCGCCTCTGGCGATTTACAGCGACAACACAGAAAACACTACGAAAAACGTCATTTTCTCAAAATAGAAATAACAAAATAAAAATAGAAACTACATACTAAAAGGACTATCATGAACAATGATTGATGGAAATATGAATCTTATATATCAGTGAACGAGCTTATAAATTGTAAAAAACTTTCACAAAAATCGCTTTACAAAGGAAATTAGGCCAGGCAGATTTAGCGGGAAAGCTGTGGACATGCGCAGTGCGATTTTCACCAGTGTCGGTACCGAATAATATAACCCCTGCCTGGCCCTGTGATGGGAGCCTGCAAGGAAAATCATTCGCCATATTGGAACTTTGAGAGTCAACTTCAAGGATGTGGTGATGTGAGCTAGGGCCCTTATTCCTTCCGCTTTCCTACCGCTTGGATTCAAGTGCGACAAGTCCGGATCGCATGCACGATTTCATACCGTGAGAGACTGGGTACAAGTCCCTTAATTCACACGATGGTGAGGCAAGACTTATACACAACGAAAGATCGCACTGTAAATAAAAAAAATCGAAAAGTTTGGTGTTAATCAGATCAAATGTAAACAATTGGCAGCTTTTCAAAAAGTCTAGTTTTTACCGGCAAATAAAGAATCCGGAAGCCGCGTCCGGCATTCTATCCCATTTCGTCGGAAATTCTAGCGCTTTTGAAAGGAGGTAAATCGCTCAATATTGACCTGATCGATGCTTAATTCGGAGAGTATAATTGAGCGGGAGCCGATCGTCACGCTAAATAAGTGCGACAAGAAACCAAAGATCCCACGAAATAGAACGTTATAATATGAATCGACATCTTTTTTTTAGATTGCTAACAAAGTTATAAAAGGTCTTTCCTTACTTGGATACTATTTTTGGGATTTTCCGAACACTTTAAAACTCCCGCTCATTTAGGTTATTTAGTGCATCAAAGACCTTAATTGAGCGGGAGCCGAGCGTGACGCTAAGTGTGACAAGAAACCAAAGGTACTCGAAATAAAATGTTATAAAAAGTATTCTCAATACATTCTTTTGTTCTATATAGGTAATCACGGTATGAAAATATCATTCAATCTGAGTTCAATGGCGCAGCTCCCAAGGACATCGCTGGAAATATATAACAAAGAATGAAACTAAAGCCATACATAAGCATTAGAGCCTATTGTTCCGGTTAACCCAATCACAATGTGAGACCACGAAGAGATTGGAAACGCCAATAGGCCGTTTGCATTATGACGTAACTTTATTACAACTACCAGAGAGCCTTGCGCATTTTCATTGTTATTCAGATTTTTAATCCCCTTGGAGATTAATAAAACAGTTGGCACTAATTGCATTACAAAAGAAAGTTGGCAAAGCATTCTGGTAGTTGTAGTAAATGACGCCATAATGCATATCGCCTATTTGCCTCAAATCAGTATCAGTTTATATAATAATTTGTATAATCCCTCGTAATATTCACAAACTGTCACTAAAAGGCACGTGAGGGTCTCATGTTAGATCATCCTTTAGTTTTGTCGAGCACCCCCTACCACTTTTGTAAGGAAGTACGCCCCGTGCGGCCCCATATATCCCTGGGGTGGGCCCAGTGTCACTGAAAACTTTTTTGCTCAGCTATATAAGCGCCGCAGTCTCTCCGCAGCTGTTGCATGAGTGTTTGCTTGTCTTTTTTCAATCAAAATTTCTAACGATTTGTCCGCTAAATGATTCTAAAACGAAATCACAGCCTGAAGTCGACGATCTCGGGCTTTGGCCGGCTCGACTCAGTCTATCACTTTATCGGCATGTTTTGACTAAATATCAAACACTACTTTTTACTTATAATATCATTCACGGCTGGAATTCTTTTTTTCAAACGTAAGAAAGTGATATCTAAAAACTAATTTTCTTTATCTGATTGCGGCTTTACCGCGCCCAGATTGGGATTTGAGCCAACGGACTCGTATGTCAGCGTCAAATGCACATCCATATGCGCACGCACCCACTTTACTGCTTGCAGATTCCACGATATATTCAACCATGTCTGAAAGTTGTACATGGTGCATGAACACACCATTTTATAGCGTTTAATATCACTCTACAACGAGAATTTCGATCAAGGCTGCAAAGACGAAGAGTTAAACAAAGGCTGTCTTGGCTAGTACCTGATAAACTTCTTCTAATTCGAAGCACAGCTCATGGGAATTCAAAACTTTCGTAGCAGAACTGACCGTTGATTGCTCAGGAGGACGAAGAGAAGTGCGAATAATAAATTAATCTCTCTGCTGGAACTTTGATTTTATTCTTCCAAGATGAGTTCAACAACCACTAGACGTGGGAGACTTACACGAACAGGATCTTCAGCTACGGAAGATCAGGCACTGAATCAAATCGCACATGAAGTAAGTTGACTTGCAATATAGCAGAAGATTTCTTCCAAATGCAAACTTACAAAATGACAGTTATAAAATTTTATTTCATTCTCTGCGATTGTCAGTGTTTTAGACAGCATTATCATTTTGAATTTTAAGTTTAATATCTATCGTGAGATTTCTTTTATCCTTCGAGATTATAATTATATTGTTTAACATAAGGCTTGGCTGTATTTCCATAGTAAGAATTTGAATCGTTTCTTTTATTCTCACGAAGCTAATCAAAAGACTCCAATATCGTTAAAGCGTAGAAGATTAGAAAACTTTGATAACTTTGTCACTGAAATACTAGTGCCAGGCATTGTGCAAACTCAAATTTAGATTTATTCAAGTGTTGAAGTACCTCGGTCTTTCTTTGTTTTGATTTCTTGAATCGCAAGGGTGTGAAGAAAAGAGCGAAATGACTTATATTATGCCCAAAAACCTTTCATATCAACTTATTGAAATGCTCACGGTGTTTAATCATCCAAATAGAATTTTGCACCAAAGTGATATTTTCTAATAAGTTTTTTTGGAATTCGAGCTCAGATTTGATGTATTTTTCAAGGGCCAGTTGACAGCACCCTTATCAGTAAAATGGTGGTATTTTGTGTGACCTTTGTGTAAAATGCAGTGTATATGAATTGGAGGTCTAGTAATACTGATCAAAATACAAATCAATGAGGTGTTTATCATAAATATATTGCTTAAGGAACCATCATGTTTTCTTGTTGTTTATATCCTTTCTTTATCATCTGATTTTTTTTTACTGTAATCAGAGTATTTGGTAGATTGCAAGGGTATGATTTAAAATTATTTTCCTAAAATATCACTAGTTTGCACTAATTTAAATTTTTGTACATGGAGTTCATTTCGTCTCTGTTGTGTAAATAAAAACATTTTAATCTCAAGCGAAAAAACAAGCACCTACATATATTTTTATTATATCAGAAAATAAATATAGTTTCCACTAGCAAATTTGTCATGTGACAAAAAATACTATTTTTGAAGCGATGTGCAAATTCACAGCGACAGCTTTATCACAGGCAATTTGAACATGCTCAAAATGTTAGGTACAATTTGCTATGATTTTCACTTGAACTTTGTATGTTGAATCACAGCAAATTTCTAGACTGTTTACCAAAAATCCGCAGCCTGTGCTGCACAACAAAATTACTACTGTAAACAGTAATTATAGAAATACACCAATCAGGGCATCCACGATATAATGACCACTTATGTATTGAAAAACGTTAGGCCGAAGCAAGGTTGTCAGCTAAGAGAGCTGCAAGAGCAGAAGCAAGAAACATCAGAATGAAAGAACTTGAAAGACAGCAGAAAGAAGTAAGGAAACATTACTATTGCTATTGCCTTTGTAAAATCTTATAATACAAGTCATAAAGCATTATTGAACACTATTTGCAATAATTAAAATATATTGCATTAAAATCTGCATCCACAACTTATATTTGAAATTTAAGTTATACCCATGGTTTTGAGGAATTTGGTCATCTTCAGAGAAGACATAAAGTGCAACAACTTGACCAACTAACAGCTATATTTGAATTTTTTAAGTCCCAAAGTACTAACTACAACAAACCAAGAAATTCTAGACCTTATTGATTAAAATGTGATTATTTTCTTGTGATTTATGCTTATTACAGGCTGATGCTGAATTGGATAAGCAATATAAAGTAAGTCAGAAAACTAGCAAGCTTCAAAATCAATAGACATTGAATATTACTACATGTTTTGCATCTATTGTCAAGATATTGAACATCTTATCAATTCTTTGTCATTGAGTCACTGATAAGTTCAAATGATGGCAACTAGCAGTAAACTAGTGTCAGCTGCATTGGTATTTCTAAAGAAACAGTTGTGCAAAAAGATAAATTTTAACACCGTAAAAAAGTAGGTAGTATCTCCGATGCACTCCGTTGAAGGATTAACGTCTGAAACATCGTTAAAATTTATCCTTTGCACAACTGATAAGTACAGTTTGGTGGGTGGGTTGTTCAATTTAGAGATGGTGAAGTTACTTTAAACTTTTTATCTTGCAAATTACCCATTTCCTGCTCTTTGTACAGTGTACCAAAACATTAATAATATTGAAGAGTTGATAACTAGATAATGACTTTCTTTGCAAGTATTTGTGATAAAGAATCAATATAACAAAATCATTATAATTTGTTTGTTTAGATAACTGGAACAGGTCATGTTGGTCGCTCTAGTTCAGTCGGAGGTCTAAGTACTATGGCAAAGGATGAAAATGATGCAGAAATGAATGGGCCATTAGTTCCTGAAAAGGTTTTAAAATCTGTTCAGGTATTTTTGCTATTTTGTTGATATTTTTGTATGAAACTCCAGCCACCTTTATTGTTAATTCTTGTATTTGTATGTAGTTAGATAGTTAAGGCAAATCTTATAAGACTGTAAATGATAAACTGGTGGGAACTAGCCGTAAACTAGTGTGAGCTGCGTCGGTGTTTCTAAAGAAACAGTTGTGTAAAGAAGATAAGTTTAACACCGTAAAAAAGTTTGGGAAATAACTTACTCCGACGAAGGATTAACATCCGAAACGTCAGTAAGTTATTTCCCATACTTTTTTACGGTGTTAAACTTATCTTCTTTACACAACTGTAAATGATAAACTACTTGTTTATTGGGTAATATTCAGTTTACCACTAAAATAATGGAGTTTAAGAACATCTAGATTAGCTTAGAAACTCTTAAGCAATAAAGTGAATATCACTTGGCATTAAAGCTTTTGCACATTCACCTTTGCTGAAACAATTACATGTACAGTAATGCTTTTTCTACAATGTATTTGGCATGTTTTTGTCGTTTACATCCCAGCCTTGGATCCGAAGGATGATTATGATGACAATGACAGCTGTTTTAAGTCTCTGAATAATACAAGGTTTTTAAAGCAACTTGTTCTTGCACTAAGTATGTATATTTTCTATTTACTTAGGATAACCTTCGTGAAACAGAAGACAAATACAGAAAAGCTATGGTTTCTATTGCTCAGTTAGACAATGAAAAACAGGCTTTGCTGTACCAGGTGGATTGTCTCAAAGACAGGTAACAAAGAAGTCGAATTTATTGCTTTTTAATATAAAACATTAATAACAGTGATTATATTGTAATGCATATATTTACAAATACATTACCATTTTATATGATGCCTTTTATATATATTCAAAAAAGTTATCATTATCAATCTAAAGTATTTTGTGAATATGTGGAAATTGCATTCAGGATTCTGCATTATTGTGACATAACATGCATCTTTCTCTTCAATTTTGTTAGATTGGATGAAGAACAAGAAGTATCATCTGAAGTAAAAAATGAATTAACAGATTTAACAAAGGTACGTCTGTTTTTTTTTTATCTACTGCCTCAACATTGATTTTTCACTTTTTAGCCTCTATTTCCTTTTTCATTGACTCACATGTAAGTTATATATCTAATATGGTCACATCTACAGGAATGTAATCGACACCAAAGAACTATAAAAGACAGAGATGAACAAATTCAACGACTAAAAGATGCAATAACATTTAGAGACAATTGGCTGGCAGTAAGTTACTAATGCGCTTCTCAGAATATGCTTTTAGCTGTATTAACTTGAACTTATAACATATCAATTATAGGAAAGAGGTTTATCTCTCTTTGAAGAGAAAGATGAAGATGAATTACCTGGTCCTGAGGAGGGAATTTTTGTCACTGATAATCCTGGTTTAGGTAAAATTAGTTTGTTTATATCCATATACAATTCCCAAGCTCATAAGGGTTTGTAAGATATTACCGCTCACAATGCTTGCTATCGGGTAGAACAACTAAAAAAGACAGGCAACTCTCAGATTACAGACACCTACCAAGAACACCCTGCTTTTGCAGACTCTTAATATTAAATGCACAAGAATATGGTCCTGAAGATTTTGATACAGAGTGTTCATTTATATAATTATTGCATTTGAAAAAGTGTAGAAATTACATGTATTGAGAAAGCTAAGAAAACAATATGGCAAATAAATTGTTTAGAATTGTATATTGCATATTATATGTTATGATTTGTTGTTTGATTGTAATTTGAAATCTTGTTTGTTTGTATATTCCTAGAAAGAAGTAGTGTTTCAGAGACCGATCGAAGTAGATCTAATAGTCAGTCAAGCAAGGCATCGGTTGCAGAAGAAAAGGAGGCGTTAGTTATTCAGGTGAGACCCCTCTTTAAGTAAACATCAGTTGTCTCATTTTAATAAGTTAGGTAAGCAAAGATTTCAAATTAAATTATAGAAGTGATTTTCATTGATTATTCTAGGATAAAAATTCAATCAGTCTTCAATTTCATGAAATAAATGGATGTAATGTTTTCTGTTCAATTGTTTCTAGGTTCGTAAACTTCAGGAAGAAATATTAGTATTGAAAAGAGGAGAAAATGAACCTCCAAAAACAATTACAGCAGACTTGGAAGAGCTTAGAAGTAAGTCAACATGTTGACAAGGGATACTTCTTAATAAGAATACATCTCAGACAAAATTAATCATTGATATAAACTAACGTCACTTGACATTTTGATCAAAATAGATAAAATAATAATATTTACATTGCATAAATTTTTTCCCATGTATATATTTTACATTGCATAAATTATTTCCCATGTACAAGTATATTGAGTGTGAATTTCTAAAACTTTTTTTTGGGTTTACTTTCAGGAGAATTTACTCGACAAATAAATGACTTTAGAATTAAACTTCAAAAGGCAGAGCAAGAAAATGCTCGACTAGAAGGAGTGGTGAGTTGCATAACAATTTGTCATTATACAATTACATGTTAAGTATTTTGTAAACATTTTGTAAACTGTGTTAATGTTTGGTAAATATACATCATACATATATCGGGTGTTTTTGCTCAATTTCCATGGAAAAAGAGTCTAAAATCCATCTTTGAATCAGAAATTGCTAAATCTGAAATACATATATTATTCAGATACCGATTTGGTTTAAAACTAACCAAAAAAATAGCATTCATCAAAACATCAGTATTATGCAAATTATGATATATGTACAGACTGATATTGTTGACTTTTTCTGAATTTTTGGAAACGATGTATTTGAAAGAAATGCTGATTAAATACTCTTTTTCGGCACAGTGCATTTCAAGAGCAAAATGAATTGTTGCTATATTTCTACATAAATTGCGTTTAAAAATAACAATTCTAATTTAAATTGCTTTGTATCAAAGGTACATACAGTCAGTCCCATTAACGTTTAACATTAAGACAACAACAATGTCATTTGTATATATCATACCTTTGTTTGAAAAAATATTCAACTAAAAGTTCCAAAACCTTCTTTACAACGTCAATARCTTTTAAGTCGCCATTTATAAAAAGTTTAAAATTAGAATTCTTTCTAAAAAATTTAAAATCTTTTTTATGCAAATGACTTTGTTGTGTTCTTTATGTCTTTACAACTGAAAAACGTTAATGGGTTTTGACTTTAGAGCTGACATATTGTCACTGAGTAGTTTAGAGCGGTGATGCGACGTCCAATAATGCTTTTCGGTATACGCTATCACCGGCGTACACAGTGTTTTATCCGTGTATAGTTCAAGTGTGTCATTAGTATTTCCTATGAAACAATTTTCTCTGTACTTTTCAGGTAATGAGACTTGAAAGCCAAGTCAAGAGATACAAGACACAAGCAGAAACAGCTGTAAGTATTGAAAACTTTGATGATAAAACCTAAATAAAGGCATTTTGCAAATGCTTACTGTCAAAATATTGAATAAGGAATCCAAATAAAAGCGACAGGACATGTTTTGTTAACCACATCGTATCCTAAATCTCAATAGGTCAGCACAGAAGATGAACTAAAATCAGAAAATAGGAAACTAAATCGAGAGGTAAGTTWAATATTGAGAATATATACTTAACCTATGTCGAGTCAAAAATGCAGTTTATCAATCTGGTCGCAATTTTTCAGGAAGTACATTATTACCGGCATGCAGTRTTTCAATGAAGGTTTTTTAATTTATGAATGAAGGTTTTTTTTTAATTAAAATTTTTTCAATTTTTTTTTATTTTTAATTTTTTTTTTTCAATTTTTTTTAAAATGGGATTTGAATATCAAATGGAATTTCTTGACTACCTGTGGCAGTTTCATGMAAGTTATTCCATGTTTTTCGGTTCGAGTTACATTATCCATAACGTTGAGTGGSCTTTGCACCATTCACTCGCGTTTCTTTCCTTTCTAACGAGACTCCCTGTGGAAACCGAAAAAAAATCCCTGGGAAATTGTCGCTGCCCGCTGAGGAAGTTACATTTGATCGTACAGCTGCCTATATGTCTGTTAAGTCATGCTGCTTATTAATGCAGAACACTAAAAGGTTATTTTTTTTTCTTTTAATAGCTACGGAAAACTCAAGATGAAGTCAGTGAACTTGAAACTGCAAATAATCACTTACAAAAGAGGCTAGAAAAGATGAAAAATARACGAAAAGAAGAGTTGTAGGTTTCAAATCTTTCTCCTTGGAATTAAGAACGTTATGCCATTCAAGGAAACTGAACAAGAAAATAATGTGTCAAAGTGTAATTTTCCATCTTCTGCGAAAAGCAGAAATTGTATATGGTTTGTTACTCACGATGAACATCATTCCTCAGCAGTTTTCTTGCCAAGTTTGTATGCCCTTTAACTGTAATTTAGGGTAAAAAAGGGTAGATAAGTATTCACTGTTTGCAAGTCAAARGGACAAGGATGAGATGTATACTAGTCGTCTTTTAACCAAAGCCCAATAACTAGATATAAAAAATCAGGTTTTTATTTTATGAAGTTATAAAATTGTGGCTTTATAAAGATATGAGGATGTTATGGAAGATGTATTGTATGTTGACAAGAAAAACCCTGAAACTTTGYCCTTTATTACCAAGGGTAACTTTAGCTGGCTTTCTCGAAGGCCATCTTTTTTTACTTATGCTAACTGTCTATTTCAAACTGACTTTAAAATGTACATATTCTCGTTGTAACTTGATTTTGTCATTGTCTACATTGAATATATTGCTTAATAATTATTATTGTTTGCTATTCAATAATTTCCTGTTATGATAAGGTAAAATTTGTAAGACTATAGAATGTCTGTTTCAATTTTGTAATCGAGAATATACCTGGTTTTGTAGAATGATAATGACAATAATTATAATTATTAAAATATTTTAAACTTATATTTCCGATTATTGTACAATCGTCTCGTGTATTTGTTYCCTGTTCTATCGAACAGGAAAGATAAATTGTGAACGAAAGGAGATTAGAAAAGTCAGTCGAAAGAGCACCGCAGACACCACAAGAGCAGATGGCCAAAGGCAATGCACTTTTTTTTATTTCCTTTTGAATTGTTTGGACAACCGGTAGCCAAGAAAAATCACTTTGTCAAATTTCATATCTGTCATGCTTCACATGAATACTTGTAATACTACAGGAAGTAGTTAAATATTACGTCAAACCATGATAACAAACTGTGCTTTTCGTCGACGTAAATTTTGCAATGACAGACTGACGTTATGGTTTGASAATGACGTAAGTGATGCTTAGCGCGTCCTGTTTTGACTATCGTTGGGTAGTCGAGTGCATTTACACTACATTACACTACATAGGCGTGGCCAAACGAAAAGTATATCCCCTGAAAAAGTTCGGATCAGAGGGAGTTTGAGGATGTGCAAACTACGACGATGAACTGACTTGAAACCATTTTTCGATGAGAGAATATTCTCTACACTAGTCTAATAGTAGTTTGTAGTGGGCAAGATCCCAGGATCTATCCTCGCTTGATCTCTAGCTGATTCCCTGACTGAGCTTTTGTGATCGCGCTTAACTAAGAGCTTGAAAACTATGAACCATGAGTTCACTAAAGACACTAGAAATGTGATCTCTAAGCTCCAACAWAGCGAAGATCCCCGATCCCATAAGGGTGGACTGTTTGTTAGTTATCGGCAAGCGGAGGGCGTTGGTTAGACAAGGGGATACATTCTTCAAAGCAGCCTTTTGATAGGGGTACATTTTTGTTTTAAAATAATTGGGAGGGGGTGCAATTTTTCCCAAAGAACCACAGTAGGGGGCGTACGAAAAGTCCTTGAAAACTGTGTTTACCACCCTAAAACTTTTTTTGAAATGTGGCCAGGCCAGCTTGTTATCAGTTAGTCACATGCGCCGCGTCTCTCGCGGAGGATCGTCACTTTGAATCTGCGCGCCAGTGTGGCCCAGCCCAGAATAATTGTTCATATYACAATTAATTCCAAATCATGGTTAATATCCATGGCCAAATGCATAAAAATTATATGAATATTTAACGTCTGAATCAGTCGGAAGMACTATTTTCAGGCCGAGAAATGAGGAAGTTGTTTCAGGCGGACTGATTGCGTRTCCTGCCGGCCTTGGCTCCTGCCGATTTGAGCTGCCAAACTTCCGGTAGCTTTGGACTTTACGGGTCTAAATGTTAGATAATTCGAGATATTTTTTGCTTATGTCATCAAGAAATAATATTTTATTGTATGTTCCTGTCCATATGAGGATCATGCATGACCATGCATATTAAATCRTTGGGACACAATTCCATCCGTGTCAAATTTATGCTACTTGTGTCAGCCAATCAAATCGCTTTGTTTTGCACATGCCAGAATGTCTGCTAAATAAATTAGCTTGCGTCTTAGGGGCCAAAAACAAAGCCATCTTGAATAATTCCCTTTGGCCTTTTCGATTTGTTCATCTAGAATACTGGAAAATACCTCCTTTCATAGAATGCTTACGTAAACAGAGTTCACGAAGGCGCAGATTGAAGTTTAAATTTGAGGAATTGACGCGGACAGCCAAATATTTCGTCCCGTGAGCTTCACATTCGGAGAAGAAGATGGATTTGACTCCTCKGAGCGTCAATCATATCCGAGCCCGTCACTTCAAGAAAAGAAACAAATAAGAGMCTGGAATGAGTCTTAATCGCCAAGTAAGTAAGGGAAATCATATTTYAGTCTTCGTAATGCCACAAAAATAATTTTTTTTGATCGAACGATAAGGAAGTTTTATGTCTAAATTTGTGCTTTTCGGTCTGGAAGCTATTGACGAAGTTGTAGCCGTTCGTTGAAAGTCCATCTGGCTACCAAAATACCARCTTATTCTTTCTTTATTCAGTCTCTGGAGGGTTAAATGTTATCCTTTCAATTCTTTTAACAATAAATAGTAAGCTTAATTGAACTACAGTCTTTAATTGATGTATTTAAGTTCTGAACGAGTATAACTTTATGATAACGTGACTGCAAATCACATACAAAGCCAGTACTCGCCGGCTTGGCCTTTCSTCGCGGTCCTCCTSCTATTTCTAATTCTGTGTACTTGTACAAACGTATTTATTACTTTTCTTGTATGTTAATTTGTTAAAATTAGTTGATAGGCCCTTGTTTATCGAGTTCCTTTCCCTTTCATTTTCCAACTATGGGGTAATCACATTTTGCTTGATGATTTTAGTAATAGTTWCAATTATATTTATCCAAAAGTTGATAATAAGAATAGTCTTCCAAAATGCTTTTGTTTAATCATATATGTTGAAAGTATTACATTTGTTTTTGTTCCGTTTTGTAGCTTAATTTGTCACGGACTGGTCACGTGACTCATCTTCCTGATAATTACAATTTTTAGTGACCTCAGTCTGAACGTCATCAAAAGATTACATCTCTTTTAAGTTGTTTTAAGTTCTAACTGTTCTACTTGTTCTACTTGTTCAGATATAGAGCACTCACAGAATGTTACCAAATGTATTGTTCTTATGTTTTAGGCCTAAATCACTTTGTTTACTTGTCATTCTGTTTCTTTGTTACATTAATTGTATTTTTATGGGGTAGTGATGGGTATGACTTTAGAATAGTATAATATGCCTAATAATATAATATACGTTAATRACAAATAAAGTTTGTTTCGTGGTATAAGCAAGGCCTTGTTGCATCTATTTCAACATAGATTTTCTGAAAGATGAGGCAGTATTTTYTGCATTCTTGCTTCATCATTGATCATGCTGTGAATATTATGGTGAACCRTCTTGGACATAAAAATATGTACCAGCAAGTTCTCAATTTACTGTCAACATTYTATAACATGCATGGACAATAATTTCGTGYGTGGTATTTTTTAAAATAGAATCACTATAATGCTYGTATTTGCAAGGAAGTTTTWAAAAAAATAYTCCATCCTAAACAAAATTTAGCACCTTATGGTTGTTTATACCTCCAAACATTACTTCGTCAGCATGGAATTTATAAATAAATAAGAGTTCAAAATTGCTTTTACGTAAGATTGAAAAAGAATGATTAATTTACATATTGTTAGATCAGTCTTCTGTTCAAATCACTTCACAATTGACTGGGCAACACAGCAATTTACATTCAGTTTCTTGCMAGTAATGCTTGCTGTTGATAAACAGTCCAATATGGCTGTGCTACAATATGAGAGCATAATATACTATTTAAGATAATCAACTCTCTGATTGCCTCTAGATAAATAACAGTGATTACTGAGTGATTATAATCAAGGTATTCGATGATAAACACAATTGGTAGTGGCACTCACAGGACATTCAAATCAAGCTTTGGACACTAACAACCCTGCTAAAAATAAACAAATAATAATGTATTATGTGTGGATAGTAACTCATATTTCTCAAGACAAGTGTTCATATATTTAAGTATACAATAAGACCTTCCAAATTCATCTTTTGATTGACAATGATAAAGCAATAAATTTAAGATTTGCCTCTGAAAATCAAAGAATATTTATATTGTTTTCTAAAACTGCACCAAAACATTTATGTACTGAACACTGAAATTGCAAAATATTCAAAGACTTRGTGAGAATGTGTAAAAAATCGGTGATTTTTYAGACTTTTTTTATACAGTCTTGCTTGCATGACATTGTTATCTAAAGTCATTACAATCTGTATGCATTCATTGATCCTGATAAATAGTTTTCACTAAAAAACTGAAGGCTTGAAACAGTGATACTGCAGAAGGTGCTATTACCTTACGATGACCACCTTCTGTTTTTATGATAAATTGCTGTTGAATTGTTCAAGGAATTGACCACCACTTGTTATTTTGTACAAGAAAAAGGTTAGCTTTCCATTTTTCATCATTAAATTTCCCTGGAAATATCATGAATATGTGATGTCTTCATTGCTTAATTTATAGTCAAAAGTGGAACTGTTTTAAAAGCATTGAGGGTAAGCGTTATAGGATGTGCTATCAAATTATTAATTTTGAGGAGGATATTGTTAATAATGACAGCTGTTTTTATAGATATGGTAAACTTTGCCATTTTGACTTTATTTAAGCTATACAGTATGTGTATATTTATATGAGCCTTGACCTAAATATACTCTAAAGATCTGTGCACATTATAGTCCATAACGGTCTATWTATTTCCCATTTTCCCAGTAAACAAGCTTTAGTAAAGCAGTACCTGAGCTTTAGGAAAATATTGAATAAACCCCCTGCATGATACTATACATATAGATTATCCATCACTTCCAATAAATAATTTAGCAATTGTAAGCTAGGATTAAATTATGTAATGTATAGTATTTGTACAATTAATATTGCATTTTCTCAGTTGTTAATGTACTCTCATGTATATTCAACAGGATCTCAGTTCAGCAACTGAAGAGGTGCATTCTGAAGAATTCAAAATGGAGAGCAGTAGTGGATTGCAATTAGATGAAAAATCTCCTACATTATCGTCAACAGATAATTTAAACCATAACTTCAATAATGAGAGGTTTTCTGAAACATCAGAAATTCCCCTGGATCGTGTGCGGTATATGTGTGCACACCATGGACCAAAGATAGTGTCATTTACTGACATTGAGTCTTCAGCAACAGCAGAGACAAGTTGYACTTCGCCTTTACTTGTTGCAGAAAATACATGTAGTCAAACCAAGAAAGAATCAGGCGATGACGCCTGTCTTCAACGAGAGCTGTCATCTATGTCGTCAGAKTCATCAACAAGTTTTAACAGGCTAAATGATAGTTCTGGTATTATGTGTAGGATATGTCATTGTGACGAGGAAGAGGAAAAACTCATGATTACATGTAAATGCATGGGCACCGTAAAGTATGCTCATCAAAATTGTGTTTTGAATTGGATTTCTAAATCTGGGAATCAGTATTGTGAACTCTGTAAATACAAGTTTAAAACCAGAAGAAAGAAAGTGAAGTCTCTTTGGAAAGTAAGTCCTTATTTTTTACTGTAATTTGTATTCAATTTCATTCATGCGTCTGTTTTTTACCGTTGCATTACAAGTAGTCAAGTTTATGTTATTTCTTGCTCGGGGATGTGTCTAATTTCACTGATTTATATTTCCTAAACAAGGTAATGAAAATAAAGCCAATGTCTTCTTAATTTCCCTCGTGCATTTACTCTTTCTATATCTTGTTTCTTTGTCTTTTTTTAATTATATTTGATGTTTTTCAAATGATTTGTAATTATCTTGTTTGTCTATGTATAACTGACTGTATACATTCTACCTATAATTGTTATTGGAAAAACGCGTAAACATATCAAGGAAAATTAGCAGCTTCTTTAAGCATATGTTCGCTTTTTATTAAGATCGTGGTCTTCTAATGCATGCTCATAATCTCTCCACTTTGCGGTTTAATTTGTGAAACACAACATTCAAAATAGATAAATGTAGCTCTGCCTATCAYACTGTGAATGAATTGGCAAAAACAACCGACTTTTAATATTCATACTGAGTGATGTAGCAAGCATTTTGTACTTCTTTCGATTTTAAACAGGTGTGTGTTGGATGCGTTTGATTGGTCGGTTTTCGATGAAATACGGACTTGAATTTCGCAGATTCATTTATGTGTTGAATGTATATTTATGTGGCATAAAACGGAAGAGTGGCCGCTAATGGAGAAAGGAAGGCGACGAAATAGGAATTAATGAATGAATGATCTATAGAAATAAATRCTAAAAGGGAAAGACGAAAAGGAAAGTGTAAGAAAGATGAAGGGTATTGAAGAAGAACAGATTCAAGAGAATCGAAGRAAAAGAGAAAATGACAATATGAACGAAAGGGAAATGAACTGCACTAAGAAGCGGAAAGAAGGAAAAAYGGATGGAAYACAAAAACGCCCAAAAAAGACAAAATATTAGGCAAAGGACTTTTTTATAAGATAGGAAAAAGAATATAGGATAACATACCATCTGACAACTGCAATTTGATCACTCGCAATCCGTGGGGATCGGATATTTTAATGGTTAATACTCCGTAATTTCCCGTGCAAATGTATCTATGACGCATRCAAACAATCTTATTTTACTGTAGATGATAAAGTACTACAAGTCACCACATCACGTACCAGCGTAATTTAATGGAACTTACCAGACCTTCCTCCAGAAAACATGTCCGAATTAGATTAGTCTAGATGTGACATTTATAGGGTGTTTATTAGTACTGTATTCATTCAAGGAAGTCGAAGAGGGCGTTTTCCTGATGACGCAAACTGGGCAGTTCTATTAATATTCACCATAGTCATCTAGTTTCATCCTTAGAGACGATGTTTATTTTAAGTGGAAAACGTGTCCATATTTTCTTGAATAAATTAGGATGGGAAATACAGTCCTCGAAATTTTTATGCCAAAAGATAATCCTCCGTTCCGAAGAGGAAATTTCCCCCCACTCAAAATGACCAGCGACGCAAGCTACGCAAATCTATAGTTTTTAATACTGTTGTATTAATTCGTTCATGTCTTTTTTTAGTGGAAATTTCCAAGCGTTAGTACAAAAGGATGGCTCCATATTGGGCTATTTATAGCATTCGTTACCATGCTTCTCACGTCCATTACATGGATTGTTTGGTCACGTGTTAGCTCAACGCCAACGGCAGTGGCGGAACGCACGACCGACGAAGTGAAATTTGCTTATATGTTGAACGGATTGTTCATCGCTCTGGCTGTAGGTGGTTTGTATTTCGATAGCTATCGCCATGTCAAACGATATTTTCAAAGATGGTCCGTGTTAAATCGGCATATGATTATAGAGCCTTATGTAAAACCTAGCACTCTCCAAGGGACTGAACAAAGTGTGCAAGGTAATGCACGACCGACGTCATCTTCAAGTATAGCCGTCGAAATAACTGAGAGTGAAGAATGCGAAGGTGGTCCTGGCGCTGAAAAGAAAGTGTCCAAAAAGAGCAAAGGAACATGGGTATGAAAGCTGTTATCGGCCAATCATACAACGTGTCATTCATTAGATACTATCTATATGTCATTATATATAGTTAATTTATTGTTTTCTATTGAAAACAACGTTGAGTTTTGGTAAACCTGTTCCCAGATTATGGGAATTAACCAGTTTYGCTATAATACGGATCATTGATGCCAAATTATGGCTTCGGTGTTTTGAAGATCTCTACATTGGTAAAGTGCTCGTCTGTCTAGGTTTTATACCATATTTTCTATCCAATTATTTTGCTCAAAAAATGGTCATGTGACAACTTCAGATTTCGTTAATTGAGTGAGTCGCTAGATATTCGAGCTCACCACATATACCTATTTCAGAAAAGGTTGTGGGATAAAATGTCAATGTCGAACGGCGATATTT